ATATTATATACTATTTTATATCTTTATATTCATAAAGACTAATCGCTGGATGTCGGCTCCTGAGCTGCTGGCTTTCAGAAACCGTGGCCCCCTGGCCAGTTTTCTTTAATAGCCCTGTCCTAGAGACTTGTTGGCCCAACTGACTAAAGAAACAGGCACATATCAGGACCCACTGCAGTTTGCTTATCGGCGTGGACTTCGAGTTGAAAATGTCATCATACACTTGCTTCAGCAAAGTCACTGTCATCTAGAAAAAGCAGATAGCAGTTGCAACCAGCAAAACACAGCTGCCAGGTTGTAATTAGATGTGCATGGGCGTTTCCACCTTCTGCACACCTCAAGCAGCTACGGAGTCAATGGATATGGGTTAAACAGAGTTTATGTACAATGTGAATGATTGTTGGTGACTAACTTGGATCCTTGCTGAACTTCAGAGGGAGCCCAGGCCAAAATAACAAACAAAATGAACAATTTCTCCTACTCTTAAAAAAGTTAGGGCTGGTCATCTGGACATTCAAAAACAAAACAAAAAAAATGTAGAACATTTCATCTTTTATCCGAAAGACTTTTTCAGCAGTATTTTCCTACTATTTTTCACTTACCTAAACAAAATAAAAGTGACCAAAATACAGGTTTCTTACCTTAACAAAGCTAACAAAAACAGGAGACAAATGTCTTGAAAATAAAATGGCAGCTCACCCCTGCAAAAACTCCTTAAAAAACTAAATTAATCTGACAATAAAGATGCACAGCAGGTCAGCTGTGACTGGTTGGGATGCGTAGAGTGGATGGATGGAGGACCATACGAGCTGCCGACCCACAGAAGCACGGGTCTGGGCCCTGGCCTCGTGTTCTCATGAAGGCCGGATCCCGAGCCCCAGAAGACGGGCAGACCGGGACGGGTCTGGAGCGGAGGGTGGAAACTATTTTAAAAAACATTTTATGTATTAAAAAAAAGTTTTGGCTTTCTTTTATCAGTGAAGATTAAAAAATAAACTGTGCTGACTTTATCATGAAATCCTGTTTTCACTTTAATGACTTTATTAAATCTATTAACTTTAGCTCAGCTGAAAAAATCATAAAAAGACATAAAATTATAGGATCTCTCAGGAATATTTTCCTCAAATATGTTTAAAGAAAATATTCAGATTCAGAGTTTCTTTATTGTCATTCGCACCTCATGTGGTACATGTGGTGGAGCAAAATTATGTACACAGGGTCCCAGTTACATCCAACAATAAAATGTAAAAGAAAAACAGTAATAACATCTAAGATATGAACTAAGAAAAACATCAATTAAAAATATGCTAAGCACTGATAGCATAAAAACAATAAACACAACATGCCGAACAGCAGCGCTAACATGAGTCTGTGTGAGCAGATGAGCACGCATGAACACAGCAACATGAAACAGATCAGCAGCAACATGAAACAGATCAGCAGCAACATGAAACAGATCAGCAGCAACATGATGTGATTTTTCACAGTGATTATTCTAGTTAGAGATTCATGAGTCTAACAGCTTCAGGGTAGAAGCTGTTCCTCAGTCTAGTGGTTCTACACTTAATGCTCCTCAACCTCCTTCCTGAGGGGAGCGGGACAAAACGTGTGTGTGCTGGGTGAGTGAGTTTCTTCATGATGCAGGTGGCCCTCTTCCTGCATCTGGAGGTGTAGATGTCTGTGATGGTGGGGAGACTGACTCCAACAGACTTCTGTGCAGCCTTCACCACTCTCTGCAAAGCTTTTCTTTCTGCAGCTGTGCAGCCTCCATGCCACACGTTGATGCTGGAGCACATTAAAAGTTCATTAGCAGGATTTATATATATATTGTTTAATTGTAATAATCTGTATTCTTTATAATTACCAGACACTTCAAAAAACATTCTCACCCTGTACTGAAACCTGTTTCAAGGTCTTACCACCAGCATTACCGCCACCAACTGGTAAGGCGCGTGATATCAGTTTGAACTTGCCCACTAAAACCTGTACCATACCGAGCCGAGTCGAACCGTGCTGTACCGGTACTAAAGGAAAAGGTAAATGGAAAAGGGGCATATGTGGCCCTGTGATGGACTGGAGACCTGTCCAAGGTGTCCCCTGCCTCTCACACAGTGATAGCTGGACATGGGCACCAGTGACCCCCGTGACCCGAAAAGGAAGAAGCGGGTAAAAATGATAAATGGATGGATGGATGGATGGATGGATAGATGGATGGATGGATGGATGGATGGATGGATGGATGGATGGATGGATAGATGGACATTCCTCGCTGCACTGAACTGCATACACCACACCAGCTTGTGTGGTGTATGGTATATGTTTCAGAAACTGAGTGGTGTGGTGTATGCAGTTCAGTGCAGCGAGGAGTCCCCAGGAGTGTCCAGCCTGAAAAGCCAGTAAGGGAGACCTAAAGGACCTCCCCAGATGTTTTTACCAATCAAATAGTTGCATATTCTCAATATAACTATGTAAATGAGGAGTTTGTCATCTTCTTCTAGGTGAGAGCCAGCAGCACGATGAATTACTCACATGTGTACTGCGGCCTCCTGAACAGAAGATCCATGCATACATGTATTTAACTTTCTCCAATGTCAAATAAATCTACTAAAGAAACAGCTAGGACTTCTTTGTCATAGGTTTTCCTTTTGGAATAAATGAACACACTGTATCAATCTCATAGTTATAACTTAGCATACAATAGTTGACTTAGCATTTGATAATAGGGCGGCTGTGGCTGAGTGATCAGAGCAGTCGTCCTCCAGTGCAAGAGTTTGGGGTTTGATTCCACCAGCAGTCACATGCCGAAGTGTCCCTGGGCAAGACTCTGAACCCCTCATTGCCTCTGATGTGTGTCCCATCAGTGTATCAATGTGATCTAAATGTCTGATTATTCTCTTTAGAATGATTTGTAGAGATCTAGTAGTGCTAAATGGATGGGTAATTTTTTTTATTATTGATTCATCCAGGGGCAGCACGGTGGCGCAACTGGTAGAGCTGCTGCCTCTCAGCGAGCAGGTCCCTGGTTCAAACCCCGGTCCAGGGGCCTTTCTGGGTGGAGTTTGCATGTTCTCTCCGTGCATGCGTGGGTTTTCTCCGGGTACTCCGGTTTCCTCCCACAGACCAAAAACATGCATGTTAGGCTGATTGGTAACTTAAATTGTCCCTAGGTGTGAGTGAGAGAGTGAATGGTTGTTTGTCTCGTTTGTCTCTATGTGGCCCTGCGATGGACTTGCGACCCATCCAGGGTGTACCCAGCCCCTCGCACAGTGATTGCTGGACATGGGCACCAGCGACCCCCGTGACCCAAAATGGAACAAACGGGTAAAGATAATGGATGGATGGATGGATGATTCATCCAGACACGTCAAAACCATTGCACACTGCACAGGGTGTATCAACAGCAACACCAACATGAATCTGTGCATCCATCCATCCATACAGTATATACCTACACATATACACACATACATACATGCACATTTGAACACACAGAACCCCTTGCAAAACGAACCCACATCTGCAAATACTTCTGCTTTGACTGAACACACACAAAATAAAAAATAAATAATAATAATAATTTTATCCCCATGTGCACACACCTATCCATGTACACATACCCATATACATGCACACACACAAATCTCATTTAACATGTATAAAAAGGGGTAGGAAGAAGTAAAACTTATTTAATCCTACCCCTTCTCCAATACTCAATAGTTACACTTTACATCAATCTGTTTTTCCGAGTCTTATGAGTCCATGAAAGGAAGAAAAGAAAAAATCATTAAAAAAAATATACACATATAAAACAATGCAGAAAGTAATCCAACTTTACTCCAATGGTAAATTCTAGAGTTGTAAACCCACTCCCAAAGTCATTCATCTCCAACTACACACTCTCATAAACACATTTACACACCCACACACACAACTCCAACCACCTCCCCAATACAACCTGACTTATCCCCATATATACACCTCCACACAACCACACTCATATACAATGAGGGCACAGATTGTGTTGTAAAGCACTTTGAGTGTCTTGATTAGTTAGAAAGTCACTATATAAGTACAGTCCATTTACCATCTATAGTAACTTTGCATCTCATATGACCTGCACCTGTGAAGGTGTAGAACTTTTTTCATGATTCAGCCAACACTAAGTGCAAGAGACGAGGCATCCAGACAATCTCTAACTACAAGGACAAGAAAATGCCTTGAAATGACAATATGGAGTTCCTGAATGAACTCAACAAATATTTTTGACAGATCCGGGGCACAAAACAACTCCCCAGCAATGAAGGAAGCCCCACCACCTGACGAGCAGTCCCTGAGCCTCGAAACAGTGGAGGTCTGCAGGACACTGAAAAACATGAACACCAGGAAAGCAGCAGGACACGACAACATACCAGGAAGAGAACTCAAGGAATGTGCAGACCAGCTGCCTCTGTGTTGACATACATTTTTAACAACTCCCTGAAGCAAGCCATCATTCCCTCCTGCTTCAAGGCAGCCACAACCAGTGCCTAAAAAACAAACAGCCTAAATGACTATCGCCCCGTGGCTCTTACGCCCATCATGAAGTGCTTCGACTGTCTTGTTAAGCAACACATCACCTCTAATCTTACTCCCTCGTTTGACCCATTCCAGTTTGCTTACCGCTCCAACCGCTGAACAGAGGATGCATCGCCTCAGTCCTCCACCTGAGCCTGCA